ACCTCTCTTGTCTTTGCGTCTCTTATAAGTTTGGTCGTGTCCTTTGTTTCTTCTTCACTTCTATCACCAGCATCATCAGCTGTGGTCCCCATCTGCACGCTGTCTCTGTTTGGAGGTCTCGTGGTTGAGTTTTGTATACGTTGTTTGTTATCTAGTGCGGGGCCGGGGTCGGGGGCTGTGGCCGGTGTCGGGTGTGAATTCGAGGACGAGGACGGGGGACGGGGACGGGGACGGGGACGGGGACAGGGAGACATAGGGGCCGGGGGAAAGGGTTGGGAATGGGAATGGGGTTGGGGTTGGGGTGGCGGTAGGTGGGGTTTGTAACTAAAGGGATGTGAGAGTTCTGGGGAGGTGGGGAGGGTAGAGGGATAGAGAAGTTTAGATGGGTTGGACTTGGAGACTAATGGGTTGGGGGAAGGCTGCGTCGCGTCAGTTTTGGTTACGGGTGGGCGGGTGGATAGAGGGAAATAGACTGGGTTGGCGGTGCGGAACGGGATGTTGGGTTTGTTTATTGTGTTTCGGTGAAGTTGGGCACATGTATGTACAGAAAGGATGGAGGTTAATGTTGGCATTAGTTTTCTCCACAGGCGAGTGGTGAGATGCCACGTGTTGTTGTCATTTCTATGTGGGAATTACGAGAATGGGGGATGTTGACAATATATTTCAGCCCTGATATTCCTTTGAGGATCGGCAGTGGTGTCGCGCAATGGTGGCCTCGACGCCAACGGGCCGAGGACCCAGCTCGTCCCATGTCCTAAAAGGGGCCGCGCAGGTAAGTTTGCCTCTTCTTTGTGGGGGCGCTGAACCGAGGAAAGGAATTGGCAAATGTATTTCGCCGGCCATGACTGCATATCTAGGGAATCCGCACTCGAGTGGTGTTGCCGCCACAAGCATCATATCACACACACGAACATACTGACAAAGACAGCCATGGAGCTATTTTGATATCCGTTTCATAGCTCATGAATCTAGCCCGATCCATCTAGATGATTGTGTGCCATGTCCATCCGTGTGCCGACTCCTTCGGTATTGCCTGCGCCGTTGCCAAATCACATGTACCGTAGCCGTTGACCGTGAGAATTGTACAACAAAAAGTCAAAACAGCAAAACCAAACCACTGTCTCAGTGGACAGTAAAAGAGTGAAAAGAAGAAAAGGTCGTCAAATATGTACGGGTGAAATGAAGCGAAGCTATGACAGGAATCTGATGGCCAAAGATGTCCTCCTCTTCATGGAGAGATATAGCCCGGTTAAAAAGGTCCTTCCAGGCATAGCCATGGAAATGGAATGTAGAATCGAAATGCTGTCATGAAAGCGGAAGGGTTCCCAGGTGCCGTCTTAAGCGCCATAGGCAAAGGTGTTGCCGTAGACGCTGGGTGTGTTGCCCTTGACCATGGTACCGTCCTGGACCATGAAGTACGAGTAACGCTCAACGAAAGAATACGTCGCGTTGGTCTCAATCTGGTCGATGACCGTCTCGAGCTGCGAGTTAATTTCGTCGTCGGAGCCATCAAAGGCAAACTCGGTGATCCAGACAGGCTTGTTGAAGGCAGCGTGGACGTCGCGCAGGTGGCTGAGGAAGGTGTTGGTGTCAACGCCGTAGATGTGGATGTTGAGGAAGTCCACGGCGCAATTGCCACCACAAGCGGTGAAGAAGCGTTGTAACCACTGGATACCATGGTTAGGCCCGCCGCCGTTGGTGATGGCGGGGGAGCCGATCCGAGCCTTGCCCGAGAAGGGGTTCATGAGCTCGATGTGCTTTTGGGCGCTAAGCTCCGGAGTCATGTTGGCCTGCTCCTCGAGCTCCGGCTCGTTGAAGCTGAGCAGGCATTTAGACCCGGCATCGATCGCCTTCTGGGCGTTTGCGGGCCACACTTGGGGGAAGTCAAGCTTCAGGCCCCACAGCATGGGGCAGAACTCGAGGTCGGTATCCGAGTCATCGTACTGGCCCCAGTTGTAAGCCCAAGAGATCTTGGTGCCAGCGTTGAGGAGAGACTTCAGCAACTGGGGGTTGTTGTATACGAGGCCACGTTTGCCGCTGGCGCCGGTGTTTCCGCCATTGCCCTCGCCGCTTCCAGCGTTATTGCCGCTGCCATCGCTTCCACCGTTTCCGCCGCCAACCTCAACGATGGGGACAGGAATCTGAACGGGTGGCGCAGTGGAAGAAGGTGCCGGCGGCGGGGGAGGCGGGGTGTTGATGACAACAACCTCGGATGTGGTGCTCGGTGACGGGACAGCCTCAACCACGGGCGGCGGGGTGTTCTGCACGGGAGCAACAATGGTCGATGTGACTTGAACGACGGTGGTGGTAGGAACAGCCGGGGACGGTGCCGGATCGGAGGTCGTGGTGCTCTCGGAGCTGGACTGGGGCCTGAACTTGTGGGAATGGGTGTAAAAGGCCTTGGGGCTGGTCTTGGTCTCGTCACCCTCGTAGACAGTGACGGTCACCCAATCTGTGACAGTCACCCGCTCCGTAAAAAGGGCTCTCTTCTCGAGCGCATGGCGAGCGCCATAGCCACGAGGGCCAGCAATGGCTTGGCCAGAAAAGGTGGCTGCCACCAGAGCGACAAGGGCCCTGGTATACATGTTGGTGATGCTGTGTTGGAATGGTTAATTGCAGTTGTTTGACTGATGTAGCTGATGTAGTGAGTCGATCAGATTCTTGGGGTGTTCCTGAATGAATGTTGACTCGATCGCTGTCGAATCGCGGTCCTTTGGGTGACTCGTCGGGCTGTGGTTGTTGGAAAGAAGCGCAAAAGTGCTAAAGGATGGCCAGCACGACAAAGCGTGGAAGGAGTGGAAAGGGTCGAGTGAGTATCGAGGGATACGCGGCAGTTGCTCCAGGCCACACTAGGTGGGCAAGTAAATGAAGGTGAATTCGGGGGCCGAGTTGGCGTTTCCGGTTGGTCGTGTCGCTGTCTGTCAAAGACGCAGAAAGAATGATGCGAATTTGAAAGTCCAAGTGGGACAAGGAGTGCAGCCGTGACCAGAAGGCGCCAAATAGTCGGTGGTTGTACGACGGGTTGAAAGCTCGCAGTCCAGTTCGAGGCGAATGGAAAGAAAAACAAATTGCCGCTAGAAAGGAAGGAAAAGGCCCGGAACGGTGGGTGAGGAAGGAAACCAGAAATCAAGCAGGCATCGTGGAGGTGCGGGAAGGAGTGAGGTAGGCACATATAAAAGAGCGGGAGAAGGCCAGGATGGTCGGATCGTGGGAGAAAGGAACCTGGTCAGGATGGGACGGCAAGGCAGGGGGTGGGACTGGCGCGGGGCGGGGGGGTCTGGGCCATGGTGGGACGAAAGTGCCTGCAGGATGCAGCGGAGAACCACACTTTTCTGTCAACAACAAATGAGCTCGGTGCCTGGGCCGCAGAGTCGGAACCAGAAGATGCACCTTGTCACAAAAATACAAGCTGGGGATACACAAGGCACACACTCATAAATTACTCGTCACTTGAAGCTGCTGGCGAGGGTTGACAGGTAATTCGAACTCATTGACCATCTCCATCTACCGTGCCTCTTCCTCTCTTTGCCGCCGGGGGGGAGGGAGAGGTCGAACTTTGGGGCATTTGTTTCTCTACCACCTATGTTTGGTGACGCCCAGCAAAAGATTGGATGGAGCCCATCTGCCCCATCAGCAAACAAACTTGCTCACCATCCCAACTTTCTGGCCGAGTAAGCACCACCCTCGACACCCCAACTGAGTTAGGATGCAGTGATGGGACGGCGTCAGCTGTTGACCAAATCGCCCCACCTGACCCCTCCCATCGATTCGTTCTTTTTCTTGCACAAGCCTGCAGTCAAAAGCATGGCTTGTCAGGGGTCATGGATTTTTCCTGTGAGCGATTTCGAAAATCGAAACAAAACCTCCGACGTTGGCGCTGCAACAGCTGGCGCCTGGCCCCTCGATATGGGGCAATCAGACGAACCAACTTGGTGGGCTCAGCATCTGGGCCCCACATTTACCCGCTTGTCAAGCATCCCGCCAATCGCACGCAGCTCCGATCCCTCATGCAGGTACGGAGTCCGGCCGAGGGGCAAACTCAGGCACGCAAGCTGCAGGAACGCGGCACTTTTTTCCTTCTCTTTGTTCCTTACTTTTTTTACGCACACACAAATCCACAAATCCGGATTTTGGCAGTTCAGTTTTTCCTGTTTGCCCACATCGGACCCCCTCCCGCAGCCCCGACAAAATCTGGTATCTCCGAAGGGGTGCTGGGCACTTCCCCCAATCAGGCCAATGATCGGCTGCCATGTGCGTCCGCATCGTGAAACAGGGTTTCGGGGGAGCTAACCGTGACTTGCAGACCCCCTGGTCGCACAAGAAACGTGCAGTGAGAGGGTGAGACAGCGCCCACCCCCGTTTGCACCCGCCAACGGTCCTGGGCAATTTCGGTGGGAACTGCACTATTCGTAACTAACTGCACTTATTGCCACTTACACACACAAGAGCTGCATATGCGCACTTGCCCGATGAGTGATGAGATATTCCGCTATCACGGCATGAGATTATACTATCTCTGGGTTTTAACTCGTTAGGCTCTCCCACGAACTCCTGTAGCTCACTTGGGACTTGGTGCAATTGATGGCAACCATGACCAGTTCCGAGGCTACTGTGTAAAGGGTGTCACCCTTACTGTGCAGGGTCAGACTCGACGGGAGGACCCGACTCGGGAGCTACCAGCGAAATGAGACGAAGCCTCGACCGAGCACCGAATCTACGTCGTTAGCAAATCAAACATGGAAAGTAAGGTACCTAAAAAGTTCAATCCGGGAATCAAGTCAGTCACTAGCGCCGCCCGCCAACAGACAATGGGTGGGAACTGGGAAGTAATCATGAGGCATCATTCGATATTTCTTGGACAGTGAGCTACAACGTAGTATCGAGTCATATCGGATGAATGACTGCCAGTGCAGGTAAATAAGCCAAAACCCCCAAAACTCCTATTTCCAGATCGATCTATCATGCTAGGCGACACCGTCCCTACGTAGCCAGGGACCAGCCCCAAGTAGCAGACGAAAAAGTCACCGTTTACCGGGCCACCCACTCTATCGCTCATGACCACCCTCCCCCCCCCCCTAGGTACTGAACCCAAACAGACCGACAAGGGACTCAGAGCCGGCCGGGTGTACCCGTTGTTGCTGGTGCCTCGTGGGGTTGTCCGGCGGTCGGCGTGTAGCGCACGTCGGGCCTCGGTGTAGGTGCCGCTGTAGGCGACGTTGAAGGCCGCGACGGCTGGGGTCTCGGTGACAATGACGTTGCGGCCGGTCGACGAGTGCCCCGCAGAGGCCGAACCG